AAAATGGCAAGCCTTTCAGCTTTCCATCTACCGTTCAACTGCTGCGTTGGGAAAATTTCGTGGAGTCCAGCCCCCCCCCCTCGCCGCCCCCTCTAACAAACGTCCGTGGTGCGCCTCTGGTCCCGAGCTACGGGCCGTGCGGCTCGAGCTGCGTCTGTCGGGCACCCGGCTGTCTCCCGTTACTTCCCCCGGATCCGGCCGACTGGCTGTCCCGCGGCGGCCGATGGGGGGGGGGGGGGGGGGGGGGGGGGGGGGGGGCAGTAACGGCTAGCTGAATGCCCGGCCGCCCGCCGCCCGCCGGCCGACGGGGAGCGCCGGTCACTGGCGGCCGACACGGGGCGGCAGCCGTGACGCCTCTGCCGCCACGCGGAACGGGGTGACGGTCACACGTGACGGGGTGATCAGTCACACGCCAATACGACACGATTCGTTGGGCGGTTTTATGGGGTCCCTGTCATAGGCGCTGTGGGTATGCGAGTGGTGCGCGTAGTGCCGTCAAAAGCTGAGTTAGAAATCATGGCCGAGTCGCTTGTGGACCCGGAGAGCTCAAGTATCACACTCGTACATCTCGTCTCGGAGCCTGAGCTATCCAGCTGTACCGCTAGTCATGACTCGGTGATCCTGAGTCCAGTTGCTGGAGAGGATGACGTCAGGCGAGCCTCTGACAACACCGCCTGACGCCCGGCTTGACTTTGACTCGTGACTCGAGGGTCCGGGCGGGATGGGTTACGACACGTGGGGCACGCTACTCTGTCATTGGTTCGTCAGGTCCCGGCTCCACGGGCAGGAGTAGCCGCGGTCCAGCACGATGGATCATATGCACCCCGTTCCGACACCGGCGCGAGGAGGGTGTGGCCCGACAGCTTCGTCCTTCCGGTGCGGCTCACTCCCCCTCCCCTCTCCCCATCCCGGGACCGGGATTGGGCTGGGATTCCGACTGGGACACGACACAGGTGCTGTTCATTGCGCGTGGGGTCGGCGGGCATGTGCAGGGTATCAGACAGCGACAGAGACAGAGAAGGCAGCGACGCCCCACACCAACAGCGCCGGCAGCAAGACGTGCGTAATGTCAACAAGGAGATTTGGTAGAGGTACAGCTGGTAGAAGTACTAAATACTCGATCGCCAGTCTACGTCTTATTTGCGCTGAGTTACCTATGTTTTTTAAATATAGGGACTGGGCGTTCTGCCCTCGCCTGCATTTGCCTGTATTTGCCTTTATCTCGCCGGTGTTTGCTCACCCACTGTATAAGCCATCGGGCCTAGCTCAGCCGCCGCCCTCACGTATCCGTCGAGTCGGGCTGAGAGCGCGCGGAGTACACTCGAGACCCGCCCACGAGCGGCGTCGGTGGCGCAGGACTGATGACCTCCGGAGAGCGGGTGAAGCGTGCGGAGCACCCGCGACGAGCAATCCACTCGGCCCACACGCGCGCGAGCCATGACGGAGCGGTGTCGTCTGTTTGCCGGGCTGACATACATACGGGGCGCGGGACGCCACGGTACGCACCTGCCGCCGCGCCGTAACGGGATGCACCGGCCCCGTGCGTGCCCGCGCGCTGTGAGGCGCTCCATGCACGTCGCGTCGTCGTCGACGCCATGCGCGTGGGAGGCTGGCGCTGGGAGGAGGGCGTGGGGAGAGGTATGCGGGACAGGACAGGACGGAGACCGAGATCGGGACCTGGACGGGGACCGGGATCGAGATCGGGATCGGGATCGGGATCGGGATCGGGATCGGGATCGGGATCGGGATCGGATCGGGATCGGGATCGGATCGGGATCGGGATTGGGATTGGGATCGGGATCGGGACCGGGATCGGGACCGGGACCGGGACCGGAACCGGGACCGGAACCGGGACCGGAACCGGGACCGGAACCGGAACCGGAACCGGAACCGGAACCGGGACCGGGACCGGGACCGGGACGGGGACCGGGACCGGGATCGGGACCGGAATCAGGATCGGGAAACTATCCAGACATGACCCTATCTAGACTAATCAGACCAGTCATGGTCTCCCGGACCATCCCGTCGGCCGTCACACCCAGCTGTCGGCCACGTGTGCGCCGTGCGAGATAAAGACACCCCACCGCGCAGCTCGGGGCGTAACGCTGTCACGGCGGTCCAAATAGTCACGGCCCGTGACGCCTAATGGAATCCAGATCACGCCGCGACGGGCGGAGGCAGTCGGCCTGTTATTTCATACCTGATATAAGGCTGATTGGAGACAGGTGCGGACGGCAGACGCGCTGACCTTGAACCGCCAAGAAGAACAGAATCAGGTGTCTCTAACAGCTGACTGCCCGACATTCACGAATATGCCGAGATTGCGGTAAAAAAGTTCCGCGAGACGTTAGTAAGTGGTGGTCACTTCAGTTCCTTTGCTTCACGGTACGCTGAAATCCTTGAAACACCGAGGCATGGGTGGGACGTGCCTGCTGTATTTTGAGTGTATTCTGTCTGTTACGTTACAAACTCCTGACCCGCTGGGTCGTGTTCGCGGATAATCGACCGCATCTTCCCTACGTAACCCGGGTGGTATCGCTGGAACTTTCGTTGCACTTCCTCGGGACCTTTTTGAACTTGGTTGACCAGTGCGCCGACCAGTGGCTTATGTTCTCGGCTCCTGCCTTTTATAAGCGCATCTGCGCTGTCCTCCCGTGAGAGCTGCCTCGCAAAAAATAAATGGCGATATCACGAATCGCGGCGGTGGTCGAAACGACGGCGGAGGCGTGGCCCGCCGCTTCGGTGTGCCCGTTCCTTCTCCACGGTTCGCTTGTGTGCGGTGCAGGCGATTGTGCGAAAGCAGGCAGCGCCGTGTGAACCAGTGACGCAATGGCCGACCGACGATTGTTGTTATTTCGACCGTCTGCTCCCACAATCTCCGGCGTAATCCGAAGAGAAACCGGGCGAAACGGTGATAAAAGAGGTAGATTAATCACGTCGCATTCAAAACTCTTACCTTACGATCTAAGTACCCAAGCTCAAAAACAGATTCGATTCGATTCGAAGCTTGGGGTTTTGGTATGCGCGACCGATGCTTGGCATTGAGCAAGACTACGCGCGGGGTCGTCATTGGGGAATGGTTATGCCCCCACCAAGTATTTCAAGGTTTATTGACGCTTTCCGTAGCTCCAACAAAGAACACCAGACGCCTGTCACGGCATAAAGACGCATGCTATATAACTAGATGTGAAGAAAATCACGCAATGCCACTTTGTTTGGAATATTGAGCGACGTTGACGCCTCCTTGTGACCTTAGTTGTTAGATGGCCTTAAGTCCTTCTGAAAGCACATTCAGCAATAACCCTGCCTTTTTGTGAGTGCTGGGGTCTTGACTCGCACTCCGTGGCCTTGCTGGTGAGAGCGCCCAGTCATTCAGAAAGCCTAGTAAAAAGAGCGTGTGATGCTAATATCCGGTTTCGGACATCTGTCATTCCTCTGCAAGTACGGTATATTTCCAATGATGCACGGTGTGACCCCATTCGTGCTGATTGACACGTCCAGGTGTGGCCTGTCGCCTTGTGACGTCAGAGCACGCCCCGCGGCCCCGCCCAAGGCGGTATTATCGGTCGGCATGACGGCGACCCGCCGCGCGCGTGTGGCTCCCACCGCGCGTTCCTCACGCACCTGGGCTCGTACGGAGCGGAAGCCTGCGCCGCCGAGTCGAAGGGGCGCGCGGCGTCGTGTCGAGTGCGATCGCACGCACTGACAGCGGACGGACACCTGTGTCGTGGCGGTCAAGGTCGCCCGCCCCGCCGGCCGGGCGAGCGCCGGGCGAGCGCCGGCCGCCAGCCCAGCCGCGCCAATCGGCGGTCGAGATGTGGGTCGCGCCGCCGCTGACCCGGGTCCGGTCACGACGGGCCGCCGCCGCCGCCACGCCCAGCCACTAGGCAGGTTATGTCGAACACCTGTGCCGGCCGCGGCGGCGCGGCGCGTCACTCTGCGGAGCGACGTCGCTGGGAGGTCGGGGCGCCCGCCGCCGGCAGCGGAGTGTTCGGAGTGA